TGAGAGACAATGGCAATATGAAATGGTTCATCACTGCCATAGGGTCTTTTTAAAAAAATACAACAAGGTTTTAATACTTTTAAGAAAATGAAGTTAGAGACTTCACAATCAGTAGAGTCATCTCAGTAACTGAGATTTGGATATATGGTATAGATAGTAAAGTCAGTACCATGAAAGCAATTCTTAGTAACAGTCACAAACATGTTCCCATTTGGTTGGGTGTTTTGGAGGGTTTTTTGCCTGGCATGAACCTGGCAATATGTGCTTTTATTAAGCTTGTATCCACTAAAAACCCTAACAGGCATTTCCTGGTTGAGTTATATATTACAGTCATCTTTTATTGAAGAATGGAAGAGTGCATTGAGCTAAAATAAGAGTTGACCAAAATTTTGCTGGGAAAAAACTCTAAAAGTAATCATGCATACCCTATGCAGGTGCATACACTATTGTATTTTCTGCTTTTCTTAAAGCTACTTATCTCCACAAAGGCTACTAATTGGGGCTATTTCATCGGAAGGAAAGCCAGAGATTCAGAAGCAGGTCCAAACACTGCAGTTTTCAGATACACTGTTTCGCATGCCTGTTGCGTGCTGTGGAATTCTTGCAGTAAGGGTTTTACCCATGTCTCACATAAGACAGATACTATGCCATATAATGAGTATGCATCTCCTGACAGCAAAATGTAGCCTTTCCACTTGTGTTCAGTGGTATCTTCATATTTCAATAGGAAAACATGAAGAACAACAAAATGGTGTTTTAATAGCACTGAATGATGATAGCAGGAATAAAATGTGCAACAGCTAGATGACTATGTTTGATGTGGCAGTCAGTAACAGCAAGAAGGAATAAAAATAAGTTTTGCATGGAGGCTGCTTTAAAAATTTAGTTGAGATTTTTGTTTTGGTACTTTTTCATTCTAGGAGTAGAGTACAATAGTATTGAAAATAGCTACAGGCATGAGGTGGAAAGGAATGATTTTGTTTTAACAGAGATAATGGAACTGCCTCTATTTGATGCATCATATGTTGAGCATAGCTCATGCCACCTCATGCCCAAAGAAAGGACAGCAATGCCTGGCCCACAGGAATGGATCTGTACATTCTTGGTCATGCAACTACAGAGACAACTGAGTAAACTAGAAAGATGTGCTGTTGGAGTTAATGGAGTGAAATAGGAGCAGAGCCATTACAGACAAGAGAAGAAGTTGAATTATCAGCATTTCAGACCTCTGTCTTGTTATTGGCCTGAAAAGAATTCTCAGCTGAGGAAAATAAAGCTCTCTGTCACTCGATAAAAGACTTAGTTGTCACTTTGATTGCACTAACTGAAAGAGAACTTGACAACCATTTCATACCATATGGTATTTCCTGCTTCATTTTTTTTAAATGTTCAGATTCTTTTTATACTGCATGGCCTTAAAAAAAATCTGGATGTTTCTCCAACAGATGAACTACAGTTCAGAAGTACTACTTCTGTTAATATAAAGGTACAATTTCAAGAAAGAAACTCCAATGTGGAAGCTGCTCTATGAAAGAGTGTGTATTTTTTAAGTATCTGGTCTGTTTTACTTCAGTCCATCATTAGGTAAGCCAAAGGTGAAAGTCCAAGAACAAACCTTGAGAGGAAAAGGCAGGAGTATGATCCCTCAGGAAGATATAGGCAAGGAAAATTTAAGCTGATGGATGGATGTTTTTTAATCTCTTAACATTGCCTTACTTATTGTTGTTTTCCTTTTATTGGCTGAATAGAAGAAAACCGAGAGAGACCTGCTGAACCTTGCCTGTACCAAGGATGTGCGTTCTAAAAAAGACGCTACTATGCAGTTCTCAGGAGAATAAATAAAGTTTAACTTTCCAAATTAGGGTGTTGAATGTGGTAGACAGTGTAAGTAATTAGTAATTATCATGTTACATTTGGAAGGTTTTTATTCCATCCTTTGAAACTAGTTCATTATAATGTTCATTAAGTTAAAAGTATTTCTGTTGCTCCTTCTTTCTCATTCCCTCTTTCTCATGACAACAGGAGGAAATTTTTTTTTTTCATAACATAACTCGTCCTGCTGATAAACAATGCTGATTATAGGATGCTTACAGGGAAAACTAAGGAATTTAGGTGGATGACAATGTGGGGTTTTCAAAAAGTTGCTTGTTGGAAAGCACGCTATTTGAAATTGTTATTGCTAAGAGAATTCAGAAAAACTTTTGAGTGCTTCAGACAGAATTGCTGAATATGTGTTTCTGAAAATGCTAGAAAATCCAAAAGTTTTTTTCTTCTATTTACCCACTTGTCAAAGGGTTATTTTTTTTTTCTATAGCTAAAGAAAATATTACTTGTTATTTTTGTAGCCTTTATTTAACCAGGGTGGTTCTAGTGAGAAGGGAAAGGAAGATGTGTCACCGTATGTGCAGTTGCTCAGTTGTGGGAAGAACTAAGCAGCTAGCATGTAGGTTCCAGCATATTTGTACAAACACTATCTGGCCTTAAGAAGGTACTGCATAAACATAAAAACATAGAATAGTTTGCATTGGAAGAGGCCTTAAAGATCATCTAGTTCCCTCTCCCATGCCATGGGCAGGGACACTTTTTACTAGGCCTGTTTGCTCAGAGTTCCATCCAGCCTGACGTTTAATATTTCCACGATGGGGCATCCACACTTTCTCTGGGCAACCTGTTCCAGTGCCTCTCTACACAGTAAAGGATTTTTACCTAATATCTAAGCTAAACCTACTCTCTCACAGTTTGATCTTCACAAGAGATGAAACAAAAATAGTAGAACCATTTGTGTGTGTGCTTTTAAATGGTGCAGATAATTAAACAAAAGAAGAAGATTATAAAGAGACTATAAAGCCAACGATCAAAATATTTAGGGTACCTGAAAATTTCTGTGAATTGCATACTATCTGTACAGTCTTTCAAGGAAAATCTTAGGGCAATGTGGAGATAGACATGATATCTGAAAAAGAGTTTCTTGCTCTAAATAAATAAATAGAGAAAGAAAGAAAGAAA